AAACCAATATGTCCCTCAGATAACTCGTACTAGATGCTTCTCTTTAAACCAGATTTCCGCATTGGAGCATTCGGTCGCCTGATTCTGAGGCTCATGTCATGCCAGGTGTCTTTGATGAAATATTTTTTCCATATATGAAATAAAAACGGCTGTAGCCGTTATTTTGCTAATCTCGGAAATCAGCAAATAAAGCAAATAATTTAACTATATTATGCAATATTGCTATATATAAACGAGTGAGTATGTCTCCCTAGCTGACAGTTGCCATATATTTTAACCCCCATGAGACTCGGGTGTATCACTTGGCTTACGATCACTTCTACCTCACCAAGAATGTTTTTCTTCCGCAATTCATCGTTTTATACCGATTACCTTTCATAGTTTTCATCTTTATTCATCCCTATACATATCTACGCTTATGTTGTCATTCTACGGAAATGTATCACTCTGAGTTTATTAGTGACATTGAAGTTGAAAGTGGATTGCGCTACAATGTGAAATGGAGCGTTAAAACAACAACTTATTCCACCCAACAATTCCCTATTATGCTTCGCTTTCACAAACATCATGACCATTTTCCCAGATCTTGTTGTGTGTTATATGAGGCCATTGTTATCGTACCTTGCCTGCCATGATCGTGCACCACATGCATGTCTCTCGTTTTAATCCGAGAAATATACCATTATTATTATTATTATTATTAACTGATCGTCTATTACAAGACCCAGATCTACCGACTCCGCTGATTGAGGTGCTGTGCCGATTTCGTCTAGGTTCAGTTGCGTTAGCGGCTGATATCCAGAAAATGTTCATGCAGGCTAAAGTACCCGAGGGGTAAAGAGACGCTTTAAGGTTGTGGTGGTGGCCGGAAGGAGACCCAGATGGATTTGCCCAGGAAGATCGAATGATTGTGCACCCGTTGGGCGCGATATCCTCTTCATTCTATGGAAACTTCGCTTAAAAAACAACCGTGAATCAATTTGCTCAGCGTTTCCAAACTCCGATTGACTCCTGTGATAAAAATAACTATTATGTGAAGACTTCTTGGGATCCTTTGATAGCATCGAGGAAGCAGTTCGACACATTAGTGACCTATCTAAGCTACTGCTCATGGGAGGGTTCAAGGTAACCAGCTGGATGCCTAACAGTCGCCAAATAATCGATTGAATCAATGACCTGCGCCAACCCTTTGACTCAGACGTGCGCAGGAAGGATTTTGGCGGCTGGTGTGTTTCACGGTGAGGTATTTTGAAATCCTTCGGAACCCATAATGATTTACGGTGAATTAACTTTATCTGTGTGTTGCTCCTATATTGACATTTTTCGATCACAAACGCCATACATCATTATTTACCTGTTAATTCGATGCCCGGCACATTGGAATTCTAATAGGCACATTCGTTTCTTCACCATCCCCAGTCTCTTTAGGTGTTTCACAGCGCTCCATACTAGGTCCAATCCTATTTCTAATTGATATTAGTTATCTCTCAAAACGTTTCCTTTTGGAGATTGCCATGTACGCAGATGATGTCACTATCTGGGGAAAAGACGCATCCACTCTGCATATTGCTTC